AAGACAACTACACAAACACAATGTTGGATCAGATGAACGGTTTTAATGAGGTAGCTTTATAAATGTAATACTCTAATCAGTAATTTATATGATATATTGAAAACATATTGAGCTTTGTGTACACAAAAGCATGTGGATTTTTGTTTCCGTGTTTTGAGCATTTGCCGGTAGTCTTACATGCATCCCGGTAGTTGTAAAAACTTACTGAATAACAACGAAGTGCACCATCGGGATACTTGTTTTGATAATTACTGATTATACTATTACATTTTTGTTGTGAAATGCGATTCATAATGTAAATTATAACATAAGTTGCGATCACGACGACTAGAATGACTACTAATCAATAAATGATATTGGTCGTTTCCGTTTGCTGGCTGTTACATACCGTAGATCTATATCTGGCATTCGTTAGTTGTAACAGGGAATATAGCTAGTTTAATTTGGAATGTTGTTTAAACTAACGCTCATGAACCATCTATTATTTAAATGTAAAGAGAAACTAAAATATTTGAGACTGCATATTTTTTCAGTCCGAGTCCTTAATTTTTTTCTTTCGAAAACGTGACCATATAAAGGCATTTCACCTTCACCTATATCAACCACAAAATTCTAGCATCTTGATATCAAATGCTCGAATAACTCACCTAGCTCATCTTCATATTGAGTACAGTCCCCAATGACTACCCTCGAGTAAAGCTATCTCCTTTAGAGCTAGTTTCACGCCATTATCACGTACGAGTGAAATGGAACGAAAGCACAAGGTCATTAGTGTACTTCCCGCACGTGAACAACAAACGCCAACCAATCATAGGGCGACAAGACAAAAGTTCATCCAATCAAAATGACTTAGAGAACCTTATATGAACTTTACAAGAACTGGGTCACGTGTGAACCAATCGCCGACTCACGTGCATGGCTTCACGAGACAACTAAAAGAACATTCAACCTGATGGCCGCATGTTTATTGAACAATTACTGACCTATGTTCGTCTGCGACTGCCAACCTTTCGGCAGAGGTGTCATATATTTATACTATGATATAAATGTGCACATCTTAAGTACACTGGGTGAAAGTTGGGGGGGGGGGGGGGGTGGAGGGAGCGTCACTGATCATGCCAGTCAAGCACTCCCTTTTTATTTGGTGTTGGCCTCAGTAAAATAAACATGTCTCGTCTGCCTCAACATACGGTAGACGGCCTACATGCTAAATGGCAGAAGAGGATTGTGAGCTTGGCATGGCAAACAATACATTTACAAAGACTGGATAATACATATTGACATAAAATTTCAGAAACCTCAACCAAGGAGTTATAACAGAAGGAGATTACACGCGTGGGGGCGGAGCCCGTATTACGGTCTCTCATTGGTCGGAATGAATAGAACCCAGAGAACAATGGATGTCTATCTCTGTTACGCTTAATTACTCTCGTTTAAATCTCGTTTGTTAGTATCTGTGCCTTCGTCTGCGGATTTTTGAGGACNAAGAAAATGGGGGAGGGCAGCTATCAATGTAACAAACGTACCTCACCTGTTAATTGTACCCAATGGTAACTGGAAATAAGTTTTGAATAAAATCGACAAGGAAACCAATCCCAAACATACGATAAATTTTGCTTACAAATACGATAAACTTCTCAACATAGTGGATTTTCCCTTTTCATTAAAACAGATAAAATAAAGACAAAAGAGAAGATATTGGAAATATCGCAGACCTTACAAGTACATCTTGATGCTTATACAATAATTTCCTTTATCTCACAAACCCGATCTGCAGGTGTGCATCTCCCCCAACCCTTCTGTGTTTATGCGTTTGTTAAGGGTACGTTTACTACCAAATCTACTGTATTGAGTATTTAAATGCTGGCAAATCTCACCGACACCTGCAACCAGTAGAAAAGCCTGTAAGAATCTATTCTGGAACCGGCAAATCGGCGTTTCTACCAGAATTCCGGTCAACATTTCTACATGTAAAGTCTCTAATCGCACCTTCTTCCCTAACTTTAAGTCTTAATACTCACCTTAACCGAATACAAATCCCCTGATAGATGTAGCCTGCTTATAGACAGTGTAGAGGCTGCAAAGTCAATCCTTCATAGCAAAATGTTCACGATGCTTGAGTGGCTCAGTTAGCTAATGGTGTTTACATCAGATGCACACAGTGAAGGTCATGCGTGAGAAAAGCCCCTGACATCAGCATTCACATGCATGATGCCGGCCTTGACATGTATGCCCGTTTTAACTCAGCCTCCCTGGTAATATGGTGTAGTTTGAATATACTTTCTAAATCTATTTGAGAGGGATTGATGTTCAACCGTGATGTTTTGTTCGGCAACCTATGATGCAACCATTTTTCCTTTGTTTCACGTAGATCTAGCATACGACAAAAATACATACAGGTATTGCCAAACGCCGAATAACAATGTGCACAAACTTGAGCAGTATTACTCAAGCGTGAAAGAGTTTTTTAAGAACTCTCTTTTAGCTTACTAAAAAGTTTGTTTGTTCCTACAACGTATATGTGCTGTATGACTGAGTCTGCTGTCCAGCAGGAAAAAAATGTCCCAACAGTGAAGGTGGCGGTGTCTGGAACTTTACAAAACTTTGAATGCCCAATAAACAGTATGGAATTATTATTATTGAGGGTGTCTCGATATTATACAAGCTAGGGCCGATTAATATGATATTGATTTACCACTAAGATAAGAAACTGACACATGATTACATGACCGTGAAAGTTGTATAATAACAATTAAAAAAATAATAAACGCGTCTGGGGTAAACTGAGCCTTCTTCTAATGATAACCGAAGACTGTTGTGACCTGAGATTAGGCTAAAAATAAAAATCAACCCCTGCTGTTGGTATCAGGAATGAATGGATTCTTGCAGGTAGGCTTTTTTAACCTCGTGAAGGTGAGAAGCATGAAGAGCAAGTTCATCCTTAACTGGCTGTAAACAACCAAAGGGTATGGTATTAAAACGATCTCGAAAACGCGTTTGATCTAAAAAAAACAAACACTTATTTGACATTGGGAATCGTTCTTGAAACGTAATTAAAATTCAAATTTTTGCTTATCCTGCCACACACTTGAAAAAAAAAACACTACTCTGAAGTGGTGTTTGCAGACAGAATATGTTTACAAAAACAGGCAATAAGAAGACTGAAGACCCATGAGTACACGCACTTATCATGCGGCACCAACGTCTAGGGCATACTCTACGGCATAACCGAGCACTGTTATGACGCAAGTATGCCGTCGTAAAAAGTAAGCATCTGTAACGACTGATATGTTTATGCCCCGTCAAGGCCAGACAGCTGATAAACTGTAACATTAATACTGATCTGATAAACTTTTGTTAGAGCCTTGCGCACAGATCTCGATAATAAGATGAGTGATTAAATTGTATATCACTACTAATGAAGTCGCCAGCGAGATAGTTTTAGCTTTCGTAATAGTTTTTATCTTTCGTAATGGTTTTACCTTTTATCTTTTGAAGAATTACTATTATCAATCTGGTCACGGCAGTTCAGATATAAAATTCGATGGAAACCTTGAATGAAATTAGTTTTGGATTGTATTGTATTATGCAGGCAGACGCCAAGGAGCCCATTATCATTTTTAATGGTCACCGAGAATATTTAAGAACACAGTAGAAATTTGTAAAATAATAAATTTATCTGATCTAACTGTGGACAGAGCATCATTGCTAGTTTAATCATCACATGCTGAACACAATCAATTGCCAGAGAGAGACATTAAATTTGCATGTCAGAAACATTTATTAGATAGATTTTATCTTTCAGCTTATGTCATCTTTTTTATTTTTACATATATGGAGATACCACTAGAAACCACTAACATTGTACTGTTTGAATGGAATGCCATATTTGGAAAAAAAAGCTTACTGTCCACCAAATGCCAGCTGAATAATGACATTATTTGTTTTACAAAAAAATCTTGCTGGACGGTACAAAAATGTATACAGAATGGCCAGAGAAATATCTGTGAATATCTAGTGAAAAAATATCTCTGTGACTCCTGTAGAGAGTAGGAAATTATTGTCGTATCAGTTTTCCAGAAAAATTTAGGGAGCCCAAAGTTTGAAAACTTATCATACTACTCATATAGTATTTTAAGACACTTGGAAGTCTGCAGTTTATAGGTACAGTACAGTCTCTATAAAGTATCTCAGATACAGCAGTTTTTAGTGTCTTTGCACCATCTGCAATCACTTTATTTAATAGCATTATTGAATTATCATCAAGTCACATGTTAGAGGATTGAATTTTGCATTACAGTGGTCTACTATTAAGATGAAGAAGGTTGTTTGAAATAAATGAGGCACTGTATTTGCAAAGTTGACTCTTTAGATAGAACCCTGAATCAGCTATTCAAATTACATTTTAAATTCTAAATACATTTAAAAATAAATTTATACTAAAATATTTTGAGAGAAAATCTGATCTTTAAGGTGTGTACTGGCCATTGGTTTTCATGACATTTTTATAGTGCTGACCAGCTGTATTTTTCAGATACTTTTTATTCAAATTTGTCAAAAAAAAAAAAAAAAAAAAAAAAAAAAAAAAAAAAAAACTTATTATACGCTCCAGTTTTGTTTCAGACCAGTTACTTTTTAAATCCCCAATTTTCCCTATAGGCCCTGAGAAGTGGGTGTTGAGGTAATGTTTTAAAGAAGTAACCTCAGGTGCCACAGCCTCAACTTTATTTGCAAATGACCTTCACTGGCAAACTTGAGATAAAGTCAGACATGCTTGCTTTTTTGGAGGACTCGTTTACAGTCTGATAACCTTTTTCAAGGCCAATAATTTTGTAAACCAATGTGAAGGGTTCCCTATTTGCATATGAATAATGTATCATAATGGATAGAAATTTCAAATTGTTCAGGATAACTCTCAAAATGAAGCAAGTATAAGGTAACATTAATGAGATAACTTTTGTGTGGTGTCATGGTTTAGTTTAATCACACTGAGACAAGGAAACATTTTCAGATTTCTTTTATTAAATACAGTGATAAAAATTTCAGAGCAATGTTTGATCACTATAAATATTAATCTGTTGAGATATTTAGAAACTTGCAAAGTCTTAATGTTTTTAATGGATATTATATGCTTATCATATGCATCTGCTTTTTTGAACAAGCAAATCTTTATTATCCAATATATATCTTCTTCAGTATCACAATCTACACCTTCTTAAACATTTGAAATGAATAAAATTAAATCAGATGAATAAAAGCATTTTCAATTCTTGTCATCTTTAAAGATCAGGAAATCACTTTCCTTGAAAATACTGCTGATTATATTTGAAAGATCGATTTGTTGCAAATCTATAAAAAACCGCAAGTCACTTCAAATGAGTCCAACTGCTCCAGAATCCACTAGTGTTGCTACTGGTCTGTATCTTATGATCAACTGATCTCCCTTTTCCAAATCTATCACCTCTTCCCTGAAATTGTAAACAGAACAAATATAATGTCACTGGATAAATATTTCATCCTCTTCTGGAGTGCCTGTAAGTAACTTAAATGTAAGAAAATTATTTAAGCTGATGAAAATAGTAAAAAATTAGGTTGGAAAATACCCCCCCCCCCCCCCCCAAAAAAAAAAAAGGTTTATTAGTCTCTAAAATGGAATGTTTGAATGATATGTTGATTAAGCAAAAAATAAGTTCCTACTTAAGAAGTAAAAGCAAAAGGCCAATGATGAGACTTGAGAAGAACAAATGATGAAACTAATGGTTGGAAGAGCAACGAAAAATTAAACATAGTTTTAAAAAGATAATAAAAAAGTATTTTTTCTATAATCATAAAGTTTATTTTGTAACTTCAATTAAATGAAGTATAATAAAGAGGCATTACTTTAGAGTACCAATATCTATGATTTCCTGAGTCTATTCATAAACACAATTTCTATGTAACGATTAGACATTTTCACTATTCACCAACTTAATCCCAGACATGAAATGACAACAAAAACCAACAATCATCGCAGAAAAAGGGAGGTCATGACCCAAGTTTTAGCTGCTGAGACGAGTAAGAACCAGTATTGCCATAGCAAAAAACATTAACTTGAGCTGTTTTTGACAAACTTTAGGAATATATATGTTGACAACTGAAACAGTATCAGGCCAGGGACCTTATGTCAATCCTCCCACCTACTCACTGTCAGTTTTTTAAACTTAATGTATCTTCTCATGTTATCGGTATTTTCAAAATTTAAAATACATTTTCAAAATGATGTTGGTAAACCTGCATGGTGTTGACAACTTAGCCTCTGGGTTGCACAACTTTTGAAGGCACAAAAACTACAAGAGTGCTAGACATCACCCGAAATGTATTCACAGTAGCAAGAGCACTGTAACAAGATAAATGACAACACCCTTAAAGCATCTGTCTTTATGTAAAAAAAAAAAAAAAAACAAGTTTCCATTCTATGCCTGGGTAACCCAGGTGACAGGGGTCATTTAAGACCCTACATTTCAATTTGATAAAGTTCACAAAGCAATGGTGTATGATGTGTCACAGCTTACAATGGAACTGGTTTTACATGAACAAGCCAGTACTATCTCTGATTACAAAGGATGGGTGCAAATGAATTAAAGTCACAGGAGCTCGAGGGCTTTAAAACCTTGGTGAGGTTGAAAACAGAAATTTTTTTTCTCAAAAGCAAAGCTAAAAATTAAAAATAAAAACATACATGAAATATAATAAATAAGTAAATCCTTAATGAACTTTGTCAATTCATGCCATTTTTAACAAACTTCTGTAAGAATAGTATGAGTTATTTTGAAAGATGCACACTTTCGTAAATCTCTGATATCAAAAAAGGAAGAAATGTCAGATTCTGAAATATTAATCTGATTTCAAACAGATATTTAATAATAATTACGAAAAAAAAAAAAAAAAAAAAAAAAAAAAAAAAAAAAGCACTCTGTGGACCTCTGTGTCTTTTCTCCCTTTCCTAGAAGATATGTTGACTGGATTTTTATTATTGTTTTTAAAAAGAGGTGGGAGGCTGCATCCACCAATGTGCACATATATTAAGGCTTATTTCACAACCAGACTGGAAGCCTTTATATCTTTCTGTTATCTCCATTGTCCAGTATATACCAAGAACACCATCAAAACCTCTTTTTCATAATCTGTTGAATATCATGTCAAACCAAGCACGAGTTAAAAACCAAAAGACCTCACATCAGGTTAATCCTAGAAACCACATTAGTGTAAGAAATTTGGCCTCATCTTTAAACTGTCCAACAAACCTTAAGCAATGATATGAATAAAATTAAAAACCATCACAAACCCTGTATCTAGTGTTTTCTTTAAAATGTGCAATTGGACACCATACATAAGAGCACATTGTTTCAAACATGTAATTGTCATGCCTGCCAATAATCTGTCCGTGATACAGTCAGAGATAATACTTTACAGGAAATAGTTTCTACATTATGTTACTTTCTTCACGCCTTTGATTACTCTGGTAACAACTGTGCCAAGGAGCTCAGGATATTTGAAATCTCATTAAAATCCAAGTCACACTCAAGCTTCCTGTTTTATCTACTGTCTGGTTGGTCATGGTTCAGTGTTTACCTCATCAATCAAATAAACATCAAGGGTTTCATTTTATCAAGAAGTTTAGACACGACTACCTGTGTTTCAGGTTTGATATACACCATGTTTTGCATTTTCAAATCTCCATAAAAAAGCAGTTTTTTTTGCAGGCATACGTAGAAATTTCAAAGTGAAGAAGCTGGATTGTATCAGATCTAACACTCAGGCTAAAACACAGGTACAGGTATATTTGAGAGAAAATAAATGAATAACTAATTTACAAGTGACTTTGGTTAAATTAAAATTCTAGAGATCTAAAAGAAAGAGTATACTACAATTAAGCACTAAAAATAAAAATTATACATTTTCCCAGTGTATTAAACCATTTTTTGTGATCCATCAATTAAGAATTCCAAACTAAAAAGTCCCCAAAAGGGCTTTAAACACCATCTTCTGGAATTGGCTTCAGCTGAATGAACAACTCAGTTTGAGTAAAATCCAATTTTTAGCAGGAGTAATAGTTACAAGCATTCAACACATAATGAATACAATTTAAATAGAACATGAAAACCACTTTTACTGTTTCTTAAACATAATATTTTTCTTCACCTTTATATTTTAAGAAATCAAATGAAATGACAAAATTACTATGCCTCAAAAATTTGCCAAGATGAAATGCTCACCGTTTATTAGAGATATTAACATTAAAATAAGTCACATCATTACAAAATTATTTCCAATAACCAATTACAAAATAAAATAAAATGTTGATTTAATAATGAAATATAACAACTCATAGCAAAATTCATCAAAATCAACACTGGATGTGGTTGTATCAGAAATGGATTGTGTTAGAGAGGATATAAGACAATAGGGTTGAAAATGCTGTAAATGTTCAATAACTTTGGTAAAAATAAACCCATCATGCCAATTTCCATCAGCCTTTTCACCAAATAATGCCTAGCAATTTCAAAGGGAATTGAAAATTCTTTTTGCAGTAAGGGTACAAATGGTATGAAATATAATATCAATCAATAAATGTCATATAAATAATCAATCATTTTTAGCAACACTGGATATGGCATTTTTGTTACCTAGTTGAGTAATGGATAAAATTAGTACTAAAGCAAGATTATAATATTCTAGCAAAAAAAAAAAAAAAAAAGGTCAGTCTTATGTTACAGATGTTACATAAATAACAAAACGCAACATTGTGAATAAATTAACTTTCTACGATGAAAAGTTAAACCTGCTCTGCTGAGATAGTGTGCACTACCTTAGTCATCACAGCTTGCCTGGAAATGCTGCCTAACATGCAGACTGGTGAAATGCATTACTTTTATCAATAAGCAACTATATTTCAAGACAACATGCTTTGTATCCTCAGCATCAGTACTCACCCTGCCTCTGCAGTTTCTTCCTCAACAAGGACACCTGCTGTATCTTCATTTACTCGTAAAAACACATAGCTATCCAAGTTGGGTCGCATTACTAAAATAAATTGAAATATTTGACTAACAAACAAACAAATATAAATATCATCTTCCACTTATCTTTATGATCAGAAATTGCACTCATATTTGCATCAGATGGTTCAGTAATCAATTCAGGAAGACATATTTATTGTCTGCATCTTTAAGGAATGAACATTTATAATTTCAACTATAAATTTGTTAAGGCAGGACTGTTTAAGGATATTGTAACCCTTTATTATCATCCAGATACCGAAAATTATTAAATAAAACACCTTTCTTTGTGCTGATAAATAAAACAATAAAAACCATCGAAAATATGAAACATTTATATTTCTTGTTGCAATGTATAACCACAGGCAACTCAAGGCTTTAATTGTTAATTTAACACCATTCTATTTTGAGGTGAGATAGCAATCGGTATGGGGCGTATATCTGAAAAAGATTTTGCCACTTAAATTGGCCAGAGTGTATAAGCTACAATCCTATGCTGTCTTTTTGGTTCAAATGCTTTTGTTAAGGAATTATGAGCCCCAAATTACAGATTTTGATTACAGCGTTGAAACGGTGATTGTGGGTGCTCAGGTAAAAGAGAAATTTGAGAAACCGATTTTTCAGTTTTTACCCCCAAATCACCTTTATGTCACCCATAGGATGACATATGTGTAAATTTTAATTAATTTAGTCACTGAACACTATCTTTTACCCAAAAGAATGTATGTAAGACAGCAAATAAAATGAAAATCAGCTAACCCATCCTCAGATGACCAGATTAACAAGAAAATATCATTACATTATCATATGATTAATTCTATAAAATTCATCTGCAATACAAAGATATAGTGTATTGTATTTCTTGAAGTCTCATTTGCTTTTCTGCTACATTTGTACCTGTATGTTTAGGATCTAGAGCTTGTAAATTTGGTGGCATGTGTCGCAGTGCTAATACTTTGAAGTGATTTTCCATATTTTCTGAGTATCTGAAAAGATAAATTGTTTTAATTGTTTAGTTGAAAATGATTTATGACATTCAAATAAACAAAAATAAACAAAAAGCAATTTTATAGGTAAGTAATACGTGTCTGAGTATATATAAATATGAAAGCAAAACTTGAACATGTTTTATGACAAAATAAGACTTTGTTTTCTCAACTATGGAAACTAGTGTTCCTATTCTTGAATCTTCAGAAATGATAAGCACTCATAGAAAGGCATCAAATTATCTTACTCCTTTGCAAAAGTATATTCATCAGGTGACATCTGTGGTGTCTCATCACTCCCTCTAGCTTTTTCCTGTTCTAAAACATGTGCTGTATATTTTTCAATCTAGAAAAAAAAAAGATTTCAATTTCCACATTAGGCTGTAAATTGGTTTTGACATAATCATGTCAATTATGGCTACAGTTTTATTGCTTTTGTATATTTCTTCCACAAAATTCTGGGAAGCAAGAGCCTAGATATATTTTCCTTTACAGGAATTAACGGTAGCAAGCTCCTATTATATAAAATCTTTTTATCAATGCAATAATGCAA